AACCATGAAAATATTAATGTCGTTATGGAGAGACATGCAAATTTACAGCTGATGGAAACTGTACTAAACCAACTTAAAAAGAAATCTTATATAGAATTACCCTCTTCCCATGTGCTCTGGTGGATCGGTGTTTGAACGCGTTGCATTCTACTCCAAAAGTAAAAAAAAAAAAAAAATACGGGTCACATTTTTTTAGTAACTTTTGTTAGCTTATTTTGAATTAAAAGATTTATGGTGTCTTTCTGTACCTCACGCATTATTGTATATTCAAGCGAATATTCTTTATTTGGAGATAAACAGTGTATTTGTGTATTTTATACGCATTCCATTGCGCCTTGATGTTTGGCTTGGTGGTTGCGAAGTTCTTTTAATCGTCGTTTTAACACGATCTTGATGACCAGTAACCTGCCAACTGATCTACACGAATGCAGTTCATTCCATCCTATTTCATTGTTTACGAGAATCACAGTCTACATGTCTTAGGTCCCAGCCCAGCAGGCACATGTTCGTCGCTTTGTAAGGCGAACAATGTACGCGATACAAGCACGAACGCTAAAAATGGCATTGACCAGAAGCGCTTTTTAGAAATGGTCTATACTATAGAACTTTTGCTAAATTACTTAAGCACCAAGGAGCATATTCATGCCACAAGAGTAGTTCTACGTGCTGACGCCTGCAACAGTAACTTTTCAAAAGAAAATCTAAAACAAATGGCACGTTCCTTCAGGTCATACGAGCGTGTGGGGCATCTATCTGTACCAACATTCCGAGCATTTTCCGTGGTGCTTTGGCAATTCTTCAAAAAATGTATTGCGTGACTCTTCGACCTCTCTTCGCCAGCCATCTTCTAATAAAAAAAGAACTGATTTACTAACGATATCACGAAACTAGCGAGCCGCGGCTTGAGCGTGGCGAGTTGCAAAAACGGTTTTATGAAAATTCCAATTGCTCCCGTTTTTTTTTTTTTTTTACTTTCATATACTTATGCACATAAGCCAGGGCCATACTTTGTGCAAATATATATAATTATCAATTTCAAACAGCACGAATGCCCAGGTTTTCTTGCTCTTAGACGCGAGAAAGACGGGCGCGAGCGTACTTGATTGGCGGCCGCGCGCCTCGCTGCACACAAGTGACGTCACGCTTGGGCGGCGGGGAAAACTGGGGAAAAACTAGGGAGAACGATGTTTCGGTTTCGACAGCAAAAAAAATATAACTTTTTTTTATTAACTAGAGTGAATCTGGGAGAACGAGATAGCATTTCGGAATCGGGAACTCATCCGCATTCAGATTGTGTGTTTGGAGTAGGTAGCTCGAAAAGTCGGCGGAGTTCCCCTTTAAGAAATGCTGATGCTGTCCAGTTTAGATACTAAAACTGGCGGCGATGCCTCCAGTTTTATTATCTAAACTCCGGACAAATACCACGTGGACATAGGCAAAACCAAAAAAAAAAAAAGGCCATTAAAGGAACTGTTGTGGTAAGTTATTATTGGCGGGTCGTGGAGTCGTTGATAAACTATTTCTTTCTTTCGATGGATAAAGCTTCGAATAATAACGGGATCTATGTCGAACGTAATGGACCTACTCCTGTAAGGTCACCAAATAATAATATCTGCCTTCTCGCAGTTTTTCTTCTTTTTTTTTTTTGAAGTATGAAGTGCTTTTTAACGCTGCTCCTCGAACCCAAAATTCTGTCCGTCCGTCCGTCCGTCCGTCCGCGCATATCTCGCGAAATTTAGCGGGGAAATTGATATCGCGAGACCTATGCGCGAATAAGTTCCCCGACTAAATTTAGCGGGGAAATCATTGACACGTGACCTGACGTTACGTAACCTATGAATCAGTTTCTCCGCTAAATATAGCGGGAAAATGTACGTCACGTGACACACCTAATTACTATTAGCTCCGAGAAGTTCGCGTGGCGCCCCCTTACGGCGAACCGGCGTGACGTCATGGCGAGGACGAAATTTTTCCCTGACTCACCCCGCTCGCCCTGTGGAAGCTGCGACGACGTTAGCTGTCGAAGCCCTCGTTTCTATTGAATTCTTTTTATGCGTGGTTATCGTAGGAGGTGTAAATTTTCATATGTGGCTTGATTGAGGTATGGCCTGTATCTGTAGGCAAAACTTCAAACAACATTTCAGGCATGGTTGACAGGGCAGGCAACGGATGAATCGCAGCTGGTATGTGAAAATAAAGAAATATGGCCACAATTGCAGGAGCATCACTATAGATTTATATCTCGCACAATAAATGCTGATGATCTGAATGAATTGGCAAGTTATGCATAGTATTTCGTTTTTTTGTATCTCTGTTTTTAAACAAGATCGCCGAAGCAGAAAAGCTGCCTGCTGCTCGAGCAACATGTTAAAGGGATACTACAACGAATTTTCGGCGCTCATTTTTTTGTGTATATGTGTTCAAAAAAGCAGCATCACATCTAACATACCAATATCTTGTTAAAAAAGTCACGAAAAGTATTTTTAAAACGAATTAAACGATTAGTAAAGAGCACCTGGTGGATATCGCTAACGCCTCGCTATTAATGTCCGTCTAGGAACCTTGGCAGCTAGTGACGGAGGTTGTCTCGTCTCCGGCCACGACGAGAGAAGAGGGGCAGGAGGAACTCCCCTCTTCCCGAGAATGCCTTTTGTGTGTCGCAGAAGTTGCTATTGTCCCCCTACAAGATTACAGAAGATTAACCCGTCAATCAAAATTCATACGAAAGCAGCCGCTTCGGTGGTTGGAACGACTAGGCCATCCTCTCGACTTCAGCCTCGCCGTAGCTTTTCTCGTCTTGAGACGACCTACGTCACGATTGCGTTGGATGTCACGTGGTCTCCACTGGGCCTTCTCTGAGCGCTTGCCAGAGTGGGCCGTTTATAACAAAAAATACAGCCACCAGGCTCAAAATACAAACGCGCGATTGTCATTTACGGATATTGTGGATCATATTCAACCTATTTTTGAACACGACGGGACTATTTCAAATTTCGTTGAAGTATCCCTTTAAATACAGTCTGGGCCTAGGAGAGAACCAAAAGTGAGACAGCCCAAGTACAGGGGCAAAGTAAAGAAAGAAGGAACATTAGTTTATGTACATTGCTCGCATTTGACCTTTGCTGGATTCGGATAGTTTTTCAATAGACTACATTGGTGGTATCTGCGGACTTGTTAATATCATTCCTCAAGTAATGTACAACAAAAGTAAGCAAAGGTGCCTAGCCCGTTATTACTCCCTTAGGCTCTTGAGATTTTAGCTAAATCAAATTGTCGTGAAGCTAAAATACCAAAAGTTTTTCTTACGCAAACTGTCACCCTTCACAAGTTCCACATTTTCTTCTACTAGTGCAGCATCCACCACTGGACAGCAGTTCGAATGCGTGTTGTTCCTCCTGTTTTCCTCTGTTGTCAGAGAGTCCAGCTATAGGAAATTTGGAGGCTGAAGAAGCTTTTGGGGACCTGCAGCAGCGTTTCTTTTAATTGGAAATGACAATTCAAACTAAACCGTGTATTTTTTAAATACCCAAGGCTGGAATAAAGGAAGGATGTCAGGAAAAAATATAAACATTCCAAATTACAGTACTGTTGCTGTGCATATTTTGGGCAGTTCGATGCATCTCATACAGGCAACTGGGGGCAATTGGGCAGTTTTTGCTGTTACCGTAGAAACTAATTTCCAGTAATTGTTCTGCTTCTAAAATATAAAACATACCTGCATACGTGTATGAACTATATCATTAATTCACGAAAAAGCTACATCTATGTGTAAACCAATTCTGCTCCACGAGTACTTCAAAGGCCTCTAGACCCAGGGCCTTTAAAACATCTGCGAACCAGCGCATGCAGCGTGACACGCGCAGATTCGGGGCCGCGCGCTAGTTTGCCGACCGCCCAAAAGCCCTTGATATAAATGCAATTGCAAATGCATAGAAAGCGGGATGTAATATTCTCCTGAATCATGAACATGCAAGGAACATAATTCCAGCGTCTGAAACACTTACGCCGCCGCTTCACCGACCCCTCGCAAGATTGCCTTGTGTCGTGTGGGCGGACGGGGAGGTTCATCGGCGGAATCGCCTCCGCCGATAGCTTTCGGGATTTTTAACCCAATCATAAAGGTAAAAGTGACAAGCAGGCTTATAAAATGTACGGAAGCACGTCAATATGGGCCTAACCCAGCTTCTTGTACACCGGGTAGATGGGTCCCGCTCCTCGAAGTGCTTGCGGCACACAACGCCAAACCAGGAAACCGGTGCTGGGAAGCGAGCCGATGCAAGATCGCGGAGCGGAGTCCTCCCCCTGACGTCACGGTACACCTCACCCAATCAGGGCGCGGCGACCGCAGCGACGCTTGTGTTCGCTTTCGGGGATAATAAGGCATGTCATGCATTATGGGTCTTTCAAGGTAAAGGGCGCTTGCAAATTTTTTTTTCTGAGATTGTATGGTTCGTAGAAGAATGGCGGAAACCCACAGAAACACTTCAAGTCAATCTTGTTCGAAACTTTCCTAAGTCCTGGGTCTCCCATAGCCACCATAAGATAATAAGGTTCTGAGCGGGAGGATCTGCGAAAAATTACTTGCTCGCCAATGTCTAATCGTGGAACAATCTTTTTGTTTTCGCGCTAGTACGACATTTCTAAAAATACGGTGTACAAAGTCAAAAGAGTTTGGCTCTCATTGCTTCAGAGTGCAATAAAAAAATACTGCGAGTTAATAAAAAAAAAGATCTTCAATAAATATTGATGGTGGAATTCGTACGTATGCCTTTTCTCCCTTTCACGTTACTGTGAACCCCAGCGGACGTTACGAGTAATGCCAGCCATTCTAGGATTGTAAAGATACAACGTGACTACGCATTCTGTGCGTCTCTAACGTCCCTCCCGAAGGTCACGTGATATCCACACTGAATCGGATTGGCTGATATCGCTCGTAGAATCCGCTGCTTTTAATCGTAAAGTGACAGGGAATACATGGAATCAATTTTCTGTACACGCAGGTTGTGTCTCCGCCCTTGTGTATTCCGTGGCTTAGGGCAGCGGCAAATGGGAGTAACCCTGCTGGGCGACCAGAAGCTGTCCATGCCGGTCGGAATATCGCCGTCGGCCCTGCAGAAATTGGCTCACCCAGACGGAGAAGTTGCCACGGCCAGAGGCAAGTTTAGCACCGCGTGTCAGTACACTGAGGCGCGGGCCGATCCTTTTCCGAAAATGACGATCGCAATGTATCGAACTTTTAGCTGCGAATACAGATATCAAAAGTTGTCTCTTCTCAGGAGCACGCTTTCTAGCTTAGATAACACTTTGGCGTGAAGTGATCTTCGATCGGGCATGCGGAGCTAAGAAACCAAGGAAGGCAACAAGCCCGTGGTAAAGTGTGGGCTGTCGAAAGAGGCGCTCTGCGCTCTTTGTTTCCTTTTGTTTACGCACATATCTCCAATATTGTTCTTGTACATCAGGTATTGCGAATCCCGAGATTCCACCAAAAATTCAAAGCGTTCGTGTTTTAAAATATTTGTAACGTAAGAAAAAAAAGTTGAAGTTTTGAACCTCTCTGCAGTTAAAGGAATATATTCTCCTAAAAAGCACTGACACTAGTCCAAAGTCGTAGGCGAGTATTTGAGGTATTGCTTTCCCAGATTTGACTTAAAATTTGCGAAACGCACGAACAGGCAACGCTGAAATAGTAACCAAAATATTAAGCCAAAATAATTATTTTGGCAAACATATTGAATTTACAATTTTGGTCCCCATTTTGTTTTTGAAAGTGTAAGTCTACTGACAACAATAGAAAAAGCAGCACCAGGAGAAGGCAGGGGTTAACTCATTGGACAGTACAATTTGTTTCCAACTGATGACAAGCAGTTTCATAGCGTCAAAAATGAATGCTTTGGAAGCCCGATCCAGCACACGCGCAGCAGCATGAAACACAAATGCTTGGCATAGTCCATATTTTACACTGACCACTCGACCTGCAAGCTAGCCTTCACCTGACGTTATTGCATTGAAAAGCGCAAGTATAGTTGAATGATGGTTTTGGTATCAATTGCACTTGGCGATTTCACAATAACTACTCTGAAATTTCCGATACTAAGTAGCTAATCGAAAGAATAAAGGCCGGAGATTACAAATATATACTTCGTTAAGGTAGCTAATACAATCGCCGGAGTACCTTTTTGAGGCGCTTCAAGGAGGTATTATTTTACAGTACACCGATACGATGATCATCGACATCGAAATGAGCGTCTTATTTCAATCCTCAGAATCCTTAGGTATTGTAGCGAGGGCTTTTTTTTCCAAGCGCTCCGCCGACGCGCATGGCCTCATATTCAGAGGCTCGTACAGGCGAAATTCTGTCGAATTCACAAGGGCAGTCCCGCAGCCACTACATCTTTGAGAAGTGCTTTGATGGCATGTAATGGAATGTATAGCCACGGTGCAATCACGTGCTGATTCGCGCTTCTTGCTGATTACTTGCGTAACACGTTTTATTGACTGCCAAGGACAAGATGGAAAGAAAAATATAATAACCATAATCAATCTGGCCTAACACAACAAACACGCGACCACAAGTTATGTTAAGCCGGAGTAATTGTTTTTAACTTTGTTAAAAATTTAGATTATCACAAATGAAAATATCGCTCTGCACGCACCCTTTCTTTTTTACCGGACTTTCCTTGAAATTCAAATTCAATCTGTGTTTTGGGTGACGCGTGAATCACCATTCAGGTCGTGCTGTTGAATAGTGCGCCCGATTATTTTTTGAAACCAATCGCTTCTTGTTCTCGATACTTAGCAGCGCAGGCGGAGCGAACCCTGATGATACTGAGCCTCTACAGCAGCACTTCCATGGAGGTCGTGAAGAAGAAAGTTGGAGAAGGGCTTCTCTGGATCCAGATGCAGCTGTCTAGGGACCGTGCCCTCACAAAGGACCTCGTGAGACGCGCTGAAGTGGCAGGTTACCGAGCTCTTGTACTCACTGTTGACATGCCAGTGTACGGGAAGAGAATAGACAGAGTAAAGAAAAGTTACAGTCCTCCAGAAGATATCAGGTTAGTATAACCGCATTTTGTGTATTTCACTGAGCGACATAGTTAGCACTTGACTACATCGGCGTATGCCCCATGTATGATCACCTCGTAAAAATTAGTAGTTTTCCCCACATCATTTGAGCCGTGATAAAAACAAAACAAAACGCTCGTCGCATCTTTTGCGCTAGCGGCGTCGCGCTAAACTCCATGCTATTCTTTGTGTATAAAACAAACAAACAATAGAATGAACAAGCAAAATGTGGGTTAAAGGGATACTGAACCGAAATTTGGATTTCACAAAATGAGGCCGCATGCAAAAGCGTTGAACGGGACACTACGAACTCCAAAACATCACTGATACATCGATATCTCAAACGAATGGCCGTACTTTTGGAAAAGAAGGTCTCGATTAAGAGAGGGCTATTACGTCATGATCCTCCTGGAAAGTTTGAGAATGAGGGGAAGCGGCCTCGCTTCCTCTCATTCTCTCCTTCTTGCTTCGGTTCACCAGCTCGACGGGACGTAGCGAGTAGGAGAGAGAATGAAAATCATGACGTGATTTGTCTCGTCGACCTCGTCGGCCGTGTTCTATCGCGCACCTATTTTCCAAAAATATGGTGATCTGTTAGATGTATCGCGGTATGAGTAATGCTTTTTGGGTTTTGCAGCGTCCCGTCCATTCGTCCAGCCGTGTTTTGTGAGCTCCAAATTTTGTTCAGTATTTGTCTAAGGGGTGTCAAAAGTCGCTCATCTTCTGCACGGTCAGTAACACCCGTTGAAGGATAAGAAGAGGAAGATTTGAGGAGAAGGCGACGAGACAACAAAAATAAGCAAAGTATCACATGTGTATGGTGGCATGAGCGCACACTGACAAATATCAGCTAATTTCTTGGAAATATGATTCTAAATGAAACAAAGACAAATGGACAAAAATGCGCAAAATGTAGACAAAGTAGAGGAGTGCAAACAGGACAAACGCAAAATCTCAACTAAACTTAGAGAAAAAAATCAGCAACACCGAACACATCACGGAATGGCGAATCAACACGTATCTAAAAAGGCAATATCTTTGCTGGGTAAATGCAGTGACCACTGACTGACACATTTTGTATCCCCATTTTATCATTTACTCAGGGTTCTAAAATTTCCCTAGTCATTCGGTTTCCTCTCTTGCCAATCTCTCTTTTTTAAGGTTGGGTCGACACCCACAGGCCCCTAGCACAATGAAGAATTAACTGCTCCCCACCCCCCCCCCCCCCCCCTTTTCTCCCCCCCACCGCTCCCACTTCTGATTGTAACGACAGGTCAACCTCCCACTACATGTGGTTAACAGAAGTGGCCGTTCGGTCAATTTACGAGGCCTTTCTATACGTAAGCGTTGTTTTGTGAGCAACGTCCACCTTGCAGTGAACATATTAATTTTCGTGCTTTACCGAGATAGTGGGGACATTAGAGAGTTTTAGTAGATCGTGCTTTCAGGCCACGCTCTTTGTAGCGGGGGCTCGCGCTGCCACTTCGATGCCTGCTCTGAAGCGCGTGCCCGTAGCGGGAGCGGGCCTTCGAAAACGATCTACTAAAACTCCCTAATACCTTTATTATTAGAAGCTCTAGTGCACCAACTTGCAGGGGGCAGAAAACAATCAAGGTCACATATTGCTACAGAGTGGAGTTAAGATGCCCAATCTTGCAATTCTATACTTGGATTGCAAGGTAAAGCAGCCTCAAGCATACCGATTTTGCATGGCCTTAATCATGATTCCCATGTTGCTGTTTTACTTGGGGTTTCGCAGCTGCAACTTCGCTCGTGCGGGAAAAGCACGCGGAGGAAAATCCGGTGCCCGACGTCGCAACTGGGAATTATCAAGCAAAATCGCACCATGAGAATCGGGCTTTATGGACATTAGTCGTTGACTCGCTTTTGGTCGTGTGATCGTCAACAGTCCCCTTCTGGCCTACCATAGCCAAACTCCACAGTAAGCGGAACGGCTTGCGCGTGGACGACCACTCTGCGTATCTCGTAGAGTGTGAAACTGCTTAACTGTGATACGCAAAATTTGTGTCGACTTCTGATTTCGGCCATATCGCAAAACAAGTGCCTGTTTAGCAGCAAATGGAAAAATATGACGGAACGCCAGGGTCGTTTCGTCCTTCAAACATCCATACCAGGTGCCTCGGTACGGATGTAACTTGAATGTAAATGAGGAAACTTGAGACCTCGTAGAGGTCTCAAGTTTCCTAATTTTAGTAACACTCCACCCTAATAATAGGCGGTCATTCTTGGTCCTTCAATATTATTGATATAAGTAAAATTTCCTAGAAATGGACGAAAATGTTGAGGTATACCGTTCGAACCCAGATTTGCCAACTTCAAAAAGATCGCGGAGGACGAAGTTGGGAACGGGAATATGGTGCTGCCCGTGAACGATCCACTCATCAACGCTGCGCAGACGTGGGATGACGTCACCTGGTTGAAGAGCATCACCAGTCTTCCCGTCGTCGTGAAAGGAATCACCACGGGTGCGAGCCTGCTCATAGTATTCTTACATCTGTAGCCTGGGATACCTTTCTTGAGTTCCTTAGTAAGCTGTAGGTTATAATCTTTTAGTCTCATCATTTAAGTAATTGCAAGTAAAATTGGGGCTTAGGAAGATTTAACTTTCAACATTTTATCGCGCTTATCCTATTTCTGTAGGAATTTAATACAGAGAAAGAGCGACAGTGGAGCAAAAATGTCAAATTGGCTATTCCTCCACAAAAATGGACGCAGTGACCCTTCCCACCATCGATTACCTACCCCCCCATGGCCAACTTACCAACCACAACACCACAGGTGCATAAAACATAAAATGAATCATGTTTTCAATCAGTCCGCAGCTTCTAAATAGTAGTCAAATAGCGGACAGTTTCATAGCCGCTGCAACATGGTCGGGCTGATGGGAAGCCACAACGTAACCCACTCTCGGGTAGATCACAATAAAGTTGCACGTTGGTATAATATCAGCACTAACTAGAAGTATCTTTAATGCATTTTTGTCATTAGAATATTTGAACAAACGGGAGAATCGCCTTACATTACAGCAGTGGTTCTCAACCATCGATGTTTCGCGGGCCCCATGTGGATCGGCGGAGATTAGGAGGGACCCAGTTCGCGGTGAGATGAGAGGAAAGGTTAAACATAATAATGATTTAATAAATGGATATAACTAAGGGATAGTGTGAAGGAGACCTCTCTTATTGCCATACACACGAGAAAACTCGCCCAAAAGCTGAAATATTTCTTCTCGACCTGAGAAAAGACAACATTTATTGCCGGGCTTGGCAGTACTTCACGGATTCCTATAACGCCTTCGCGGACCTCAAAGTGTCCTTGGACCCTCTTTTGAGAACCACTGCATTACAGAATGCATTTAATTGAGGAGAAGCTTGTGATCAACATGCTGTCCCCTCAATATACAAACCTTTTTTAACGCAAGAAATAATTTACGCATTGACGGACGCTCATTCTTAGCCCAAATGAAGCGCCAGTGGGGCGAACCAGGTGGCAAAGTTATAAAAGTAACCGTGATTTTATTCAAAAGTTATAAGTGATTTTTAAAATGTTTAACGGAAAAATGGCGGCCGATGGAGATGTTAAATACATGAAGCTGAAAGCCACTAGTTACCGAAAACGGACAAAAACAAAACCTATTTTCCCAATAAAATTAAAAAAAAAATTACTGTTGATTAAGGTAACGGTTAGTTCTGAAACTTTGGAACCTGGTTGGGACCACAAGCGGTACATTTGAACGACAAACGTTTGGCGATGCGTAGCTCCATTTTGCGATAGAAAAGAAAACCTGCAAATTTTTTTGGGGGGCACGCTGTACTTCTTGTGTCTAGATATTAGTCAGAAAGCCTGCTAATGTAGTTTTGTATCTAACAATACCACGATTTAATATTCAAAAGAAAACTCGAAGCTCGTGCCCTCTTTTGTACCTTCCTCCTGAGAACAATGATGTACACGTGTCGGGAGTATGAAAGAATCCTGTGAATTTTAGCTTTTCTGAATTGATACCTAAAACGCCTAAGTGAAGTTTTTTTTACATTCTGCAATATATAAGTAATGCGAACCACTTCCCTGAAGTACTAAGCCAAAGTTTCGGGGGGGGGGGGGGGGGGGGAGGAAGGAAAATTTGGAAGGATACTATTCTCCCATTCTTTCTTGTGCACCCGGAAGTCCAGCAATGTCGCATTGCCCTCCAAGAAGGGGGGGGGGGGGGGGGGGGGGGCGGCCGCCCCCGACACCCTTTCCCCCTTGGATCCGCCACTGTGGTGGGGAAGGATATTTGTTTTAATATGGAGGGTATTGTTGATTTTGTTACCGGCGTTTGCACAGCGTCACATTTCGATAGCTTTATGCATGTGAATGCAGCTTCGTATAAGCTGTTGATGGAACGTTTTGAAGACTGTTCGAAATTATTTCCTGGCGTTGGGCATGACGCTTTCATCAAGCACACAGTTTGATTTCCAAGAATAAAACAATATACTTTGGAGCAAATTTATGAGGCAATAATTGTAAGATTTCTTTTCCGTCTTTCACAGCCGAAGACGCTGAGATAGCCATCGATCGTGGGGTTTCAGCCATACTCGTCTCGAATCATGGCGGTCGGCAGCTAGACGGAGTCCCAGCAACCGTACGCTACACCTAACAAAATCTTACTTTTAATCGTCCCCTTGCTTTAATCAAGTGAATATAGTCATGTTACGAAAGTAAAATTGCTGTACATTTTTTTGGCAGAACAGATATTATACTAGTGCGCAGCTTGCTACAGGCAACATGCAAGCGCATGCCGACTCAACACTCGATCATACACTAGGGTTTTTTGGAAAGCAGGTCAAATCCCTCATGTGAAAACATCTCATCGTACAGAAAAAGGTTGATGACATAGTGGTCTGAACCAAAGGGTTCATTAAGAAAATAACTAGCGTTTGAGTATAATTGGGCAATGATTTACTTTTTCGTAATTAAAAGTTTAGCTATGAACTTCAAAGGAACGGTGTGAACTAGAAACTTGACGCGAATCATCCGAAGCTCTTAAATCAATCCATATTAAAATAATATTTGGCACGCGCCAGAAAATTGCTCAAGTTGGATGCCTTTCTAGGTTGCGGTTTTTTATATGATCGGACCCCCGCGCCAGCAATAATCCTCTACCCCTCCCCCTTTCCCCCCTCTCTCTTTTGTCACGTGGTGGCAAAAACACACGCATCGGTGCGTTTTCACCCAGGCACCGACGTCAAATGGGCGAACATCATGTGGCAGTCCGGGGGCTTTCTTGTCTAGTTAATTCAATGGGCCATCTGTGGCGGCGCACGTACATTACGCGTTTTGGCCACGGAGAGCGAGATTGCAGGCGCACAGATGCGCTTCGATAAAAGACCGAAACCTAAAAGCGCGTCCGAATAAAGCACATATTCGAAACGCCGTAACATACTGCGCGTTCCTTATATCATTGTAAACGGGTGGACTTTGTAGGTTTCGATGATTCGCATAAAGTTTATATTTGAAATCATACCTTTTATTTAGCGATTAAAAGTTTTCTACTGAAACGTAATTAGTTGTTCAATTATACTGAACGTTAATAATTTTCCCTAATAGACCTTTGGTACAGACCACGAGTAAAGCAATGTTTTTCTGTGTGCGATGCATAGATTTGGCAGGAGCGAGTTGACTCGCGTTTTCAAAAACAACCTTTATAGTGTTCAGCTAAGGCCGGTCATAGGGGTGTCATACCTATTTTTTGCTTTCATAGAATTTTTTTATATAAGGTAGCAAAACATGTAAAAGATAAATAAAGCTTACTTAAAAAAAAGAAAAAAAAAATAAGAGAAAAGCGCTTGTTCTCGTTAAAAAATCAACGCCTAAGAGGAGGTAGAGCTACCATTTTTGCCATTTGCGCATAGACGCAAATTTGAGGGAAGCATGAAAGAAAATTTAAGATTTCTAAGATGCAAATATTTTTGCGTATAAAACATGCCAACTGGTGTACCTAAAAGGAGTCAAGTTTTTTTAATTTAAATTTATGTTTCAAGTGAAATGAAATACCAAATTGTACCTCTCGCGCAACTCTTCTATATTTAGGCATTTATCGTGGATATTGTAACACATCTTAGAAGTAAGATTGTAGGCTGAAACGTTTGTACACATTATTTGACGAACTGTTCACTCTTAACAAAAAATTAGCGTTTTCCAAATACCAAGTCAAAATTGTGAAAACTTGTGCTGCAATTGTAAAAATAATAACCCTCTGGCATTTTTCAAATTTTCCTCGATTTACTGTTTGAAATATGTGATTTAAAAACCGCAAAAATATTCTCCATTACAATGTCTAAAATAAAAAAAAAATCTTTTTTCCAGATTTATGTCGCGGTAAATTACCAATGAACGCGTTCTGCCTCAGCGATTTTTGGCACTCGAGCGCCGCATCCACAGTTCTAGTAGTTGGTCCCATTATCTCCCAAACACCATAAATCATTACACAAAAATAAACTAAAAAAAAACTGCCATATTTTTTAATATAAGTAATAAGGCCGATATTGCATATGAAAACTGAACTTTGCGGCACAGTCTGTCCTTTGGGTGTCGTGCTTGGTTGATTCCGCTGCACTGCAGGAATCAACGTCGCCTGTTGACCATCGTAAGGAAAAACAGAGCATATAAGCCGGAGACGTTAGGAATCTTTTGCCCCAACCGATGGCGGGCTTGGCGAATGCGAAACAATAGCAGGCGTTTCCAGGGGCTCATCGTGGGAAATTTGGAGAAAATTGAGGATGATTATGTTTGTCTCTTTTAAGTGGCTCACAAACATCGCACAATTTTGACTTTTTTATATTTCGAAAACATCCATGCAAGAACACTGAAATAGTCGAGCGCAATAGGCTTTTTTTAATAGTGAACGAAGCACGATATACTCCATAGAAAAAGTTTAAGCCTTAAAATTTAACTCTAAGATGTGTAAAAACCACCAAAGAACTCTCTATAAATATAAAGAGTTGCGCATGAGGCCAAGTTAGTAAGTTTATGTTACTTAAAATATAAACTTAAATAAACTAATCTAACTACTTCCAGTAGACCTGTTGGTATGTATTTGGTACATATGAATAGTTATTTTGTAAAAAGTTTTATTTTTTATTCCAGTGGCCCTCAAACTTGCGTCTACGCGCAATTGGGGAAAACGTAATTCAACCTCCTCTCAGATACGATTTGTTTGACGAAAAGAACGAAACAATTCTTGCAAAACAGGGTTAATTTCATTGTATGAAAATTTATTGGTGCCTAAGATAAAATAGAATGAAAATAATATAGACTTGGCACATCTATGACCGTCTTTCTCTGAACTAAGCGTATATACGGTGAGAGAAATAACCAGGCTCAATCTAAAATGGGCTGTAAAAATCGTCGCGTGTACTTAGCAATCTAAACTTTTCGTCAAAAGTGTATTTCACGGGTCGGTTTTTTATATAAAATTACGAATCGTAGCTCCCTTTTTGTAAAAAAAAAAGGCAAAAAAAAAAAAAAAAAACTGGCCAGGGTCAACGGCGGACAGCGACGCAGACGACCCAATCGAGTGGCAAGACGCGTTGGGCGCACGTCTTGATGACTGGCGCTACCTCCTTCTTGAGACTGCTTGCGAGAACCGTGGTCTACTAATATGAACATAGTGCTTTTTGTAATGTACCAAAACTTGAAGTAAAGAAAAAACAAATACGCGGTTGCATAACGACCACGCCCTTGCTGCCGACAGATTTCGTCTCCGTGTGGTCTGCTTTCTTTCGCTGGCCGACGACACTTTCCGGCGCTGCTCCCGAAGCCTTCTACCAATACGTTTGCCAAACGCACCCCGCTACTATGGTGCCTGGAGCGCGTTTCCGACTGGTGTGTTTAGCGTCCTATACCGCCCATAGATCAAAACTGGTCCCACGAAGAGGTCACAAATGACGTCGAAGAAGCCGGAATGTCATGTTGTCGGAGGTCGCGATCAGTGGCGGTTGACCATAGAAATGCTGGCTAAAAGCATGAGCGAACGCGAGTTTCGCTGTCGTCACAGCGTCCCAACTTCTTGCTGCCGAAGCTTCCGTGCACTGTCACACCAGAGAGCGACCTGCAGAAGAACAGGCGTCGGCCGCATACACCAAAGCTGTTGGAACGTCGCCAGGATCGCGACCAGCGACAACATGCCACTTCTGTGATGTCACCAGGCGGAAATGGAAGGACCACTTTTTTTGGGCGCGATAAACACACGAGTCGGAGGCGCGTTTGAGACACCACATCGCCACTCGACTTCGTCGTCTGCGTCACCGTCTGCCGTTTACCCTGGCAAGTGTTTTGGCACACTTGTTTACAGAAAGGGAGCTGCGCTTTGTAATTTTACAAGAGAAAATCGAGCCGTGAAATGCATCTTTGAAGAAAAGTTTTGATTGGTACGTGCCGGCGCTGATATTTACGGCCCATTTTAGATCGAGCCTTGTTATTTCAGTCACCCTATAAAAAAGGGTGAAAGGGTGATTCGAACTGAAAATCTTTGAGAGCGTGGGGCTATTCAGCGCTGCACGATCTCTTTCACTACTGAAAATTAGCACACCGGAGCATAAAGGGACAATAAAATGATTTTCAAACTTTTTTCCAAATAAAGATACTGGTTCATTTTTAATGTTCACAGAATCAAGGACAGACTTCTGTTATCGTTTTATTGAATTCAGTTTTGCACAAAAAAAATCATGTCTGCCTTTGTCCTCGACTCGACCGGACTCGGTCACCAACATGTGAAATCACGTGGCCTTTACGTAAAGTATGCCTTTCTACCGGAAACAAAAGTTTTCCCAGCCGAGCGAGGGAGCCGCGTTCGACACGAGCACTGCGTCACACAGAAGTATGCGCTCGAAAACAATAAATCCGTCGACGAATATTTGAATACCCGTTCGTGGCCAATGAGTGCAGTGACGGCGCTTATCCAACACCACCTAGACAGAAGGCCTCCACACGCGTCATCATAGTCAGATCGATTGAGGCGAGAGATTGGGCACGAGTGCTGCGTCAGTGTTCGGCTGCGGCTCGTGGCCAATCAGCGCGTCGAAGGTCGGACTCGGGTCCAATAGCCGACCGAGCGCGATCCGACTGTGATGACGTTTCATAGAGGGAGAGGAAACCATGCGGAGGCCTTCTGTCTAGGTGGTGTTGGCTTATCACGCTTGCGAATGACTAGTTTCAAGGTGTGCTTAAGGAGGACGGTGGAAGCATGGAGTCATCGTACCGAGGCCCAAACGCTTCACGACCACATGATTTCTCATTTCGCTTAAGCTTTGGAGGAAAGCTAAGGATGACGTTCTTGGTAAATCATTCCATGGTCCCTTTAAGGCTGGACTGTGATGACCGTGACTCCCTCTCTTTGTGGCTCTAATTTTAGCATGTGGCTTAGAGAGTCTAATACTACCCACAAAATACCACGTGAGCTTCCCGTTTCTCTATGGAACATCCAGCTGTTTACAGAGGAGTCCGCGTTGGCCAACACCGAGCGTGGGCAATGCGCTTGCGCAGAAAAATATATTTACGTAACATGAGAGATTTGCGCATGTGCCGTGTTGACAGAAACAACACTGCAGCAGCGTAACGTCAGAGACGCATGATGGTGTCAAC